AAGGACACTCAATGACCCAAAGGAGGGGCAATCCAGTCCTTACTGTATTCATTATTATAAACAAATAGCCTTGCATACATTGTGGCACATATATGTGCAAACTGGGTGTAAACTGTCAGGCCTCGTTCCTTATTGGTAATCTTACTCTAGAAGGAGGACCCGTGTTGTCAATTCTCTCCATTGCTACTGAATAGGAAAAGGACTGAAAGACAAGTACCCTAGCTGTTGAATAAATCACTTGGTTATGTCGAAGTAACGGAAAAATATGATAATTTCTACTGAACGCATGGTTTGTCTCAAATTTATAATCATTTCACTTATGACAACTTTCAGTTGCAAATATTACATTAAGACAGGCATCTTGATGCAGAAATCAATTTTATATGCAAGTTACAGTGATATCCTCTCAAAGTTTTTTTATGCAATGAACAAACTGTTTGTATATCCCATCAATACTATGGTCTACATGACAGTGCCGCAACACTTAAGTTGATTAGCAAATCAAGTGTTAGACAACTGGCCTACAGGGGATCAAAACAGGCAGACCTGGATCCAGATTTGCACATGCTCAGCCCCACTGAATCAGCACAGCTTATATTAGTTTTTGGTGAATCTAATTCTTCTAACATGATCAGAACTGGATCTAGCCTGAAAAAAAAAAAAAGCAAAACTGGTCTGTGCAAGTGATAATATCACTTATATTGAAATGTACAGGAAATAAACCAAAATGTGCATGGCCTACTGCCATTCCAAATTCAATAGCCAATGAGATAGATGCAGGTAATTCATAGTTCCCTGTGGCTTTGGGCATGCTCCATCTACCAAAGGAAACTTTTTGTTTCCACAATGAGATACATCATTCTATCCCAACACAGTATTCAGAGTTCCACTGTTAAAGGTGAACTTGTCTTTCACATCTCTCGAAAAGGATCCAGAAAGATGTACTACAAACTCAATATCCTAATTAAGGAGAAGAAACTCCAAACTATAAAATACCCCCTAAGATAAAGGAATGAGTCCTTATATAATGCAGTCTGTATATTGCAGAGTAGTTTTCATTCTAATTAAGTTACTCTGAAGTCCTTATCTCCTGCTCTTTCACCATCTTTGACATAATACTGAATGGTTGCAATGGGGTCTTACTTGACATGCTATTTTGCCAGGAGGAAAATTACAAGACAAAATACACTTTGCTTCCCAATAATATTTATTGCTTTGTTTAGTCACTGAATCGTGTCCGACTCTTCGTGACCCCATGGACCAGAGCACGCCAGGCCCTCCTGTCTTCCACTGCCTCCCAGAGTATGGTCAAATTCATGTTGGTAGCTAAATAATATTCATACAGCCCTGCTTTCTACTGAAGGCAATGCCACAAAAGTAAGAAAACATTCTGAGATAGAAACAGCTAATCAATATACCATGTCTAATTTTAATCTTCCGTAGCAGCAATGGTTAAGTGTTTTAATTTTTAGCCCTTTTTTAAACTGACAGAAGCCTGCCAGAATAAACTGCCTTGTATGGAGATCAGACAGGCATGGGACTGCAATTATATATCACAATAGCCTTTTCTTGGTTCACAGCTCTATTCATCTTTTTGAAACACTGAAAGACAGATTGGACATAAGGGAATGGATTAGCCACAGGACAACCTGTATTTCCACACAAAAGCCTAAGTGTGGAAAAATGGCACCCCGTGTCAGCCATTCTTCACTTCCTGGATGGAAAAAAAAGATATTCATGGAAACAGCCATTTAGGCAGCTCGTTCCCACCCATCTCAGAACAAGTACTGCCTGTTTTCCTACCAGGTATGAGTTGTACAGTAAGGTAGTTTCACTGTTAATATGAAAGAGTTGTGTCTGTCTGTCAACTTAGCCCACTGCCACCACAGCAAAATAGTTTAAGCTGAACTTAAGGGGAACATTTTGCACAGAAAGTCAACACAGGACATTTACCAAAGTTCAAAAGGAGTCTGGGGAAGCTCTAATATATCTCTGTATTTACCAGGTTGACTTTCAGGTATGCATCCAATGGCTTGAACAGGTTTATCACAATTACATCCAAGCCTTCCTGCTTCTACTGCTTCAGATAACAGAAAAGTGAGAATGGGCATATATTGGTTGAAATCCCATAGTACGCTGCAACCAAAGTAGGCCCATTAAATCACTGGAGCTTACAGAGGAGCTGACTCACCGGACCCCCATTAATTTAATGGGCCTTTTCTAGTTACACCTAACTACCAGATTTTAGCCACTGAGTTTGGGTCCAGGCCTAGTAATATGTATAAAATAATTACACGTTTAAAATAAAGGGAAACATGAGTCATTGCTAATTCAGCTGACTCTAAGTGCAACTAAATCTAGATTCAGCCCACTCATTTTAAGTTCCAGTTCTGTGACATATGTGACTCTCAGAGAATATATATATATACACACACATTTTTTCCGAATCCAAGCAAACTCCTTCAAACTGTTTATTATGGCAAAGGCTTCTTTCAGAGTATGCACCTAAGGATTTATCCAAACATAATCTGTAATTTAAAAAAAAATTCAGAAGTCATGTTCTTCCATAGTCTTGTGCTAAAGAGTGCAGAAGCAGGTGTTGTTTGAACTAATGAGCATATCTTAGACATTTCTGGCAATTAAGTCTGAACAATTAAACAAATTGTAAGCTCCTGAGTTGATATTATGGGGGTCATTTAATTGATCTGCCTCAGGAGAGACTGTAAAATGAAAGTGTCCAGATTTCAATTCAGTAAAACAAATTACAGCTACAAAGTAAATCTCTGAAGAGTGAAACTAGTGTATGTCAGCAACAAATTTGCACTGAAACAGTGAACTATATTGGCAGAAAAAGGAACTAATGCTACCAGAACACCAGGCCCCAACATGTAATGATAATAATAAACAAGTCATCTGTCACATTTGTGCTACTGATTTAAATTCAGTGTGCCCATACCTCACATATCACATATCTGAGGATTAATTCTTCCCATTTGTTGTACATATCTTGAGACAAAGTCCCTCCCTCTGTATGGAAAAACCTGCAACCTAATTTCCCACCATGCAAAACTGAATGCTTGACAAAAATATGCTTTAGAGTAAGACATGAAAATTCCTGTTCTGAGACATAAAAACAAACAGATTCAACCAAGCAGGCAAGAGGGGAAAAGTGTTAGAAAACACAATAGGGAATATAAAACATGGAATATTTTCCTAACTCATTTAATTATGCAATGCTACTGTAGAAACTATAGCATGGCACTGACTGTGAACACTGGCCTTTAAAAGTCATCCAAAATGCTAAATTTAACATGAAATAACTGCATGTTGCTAAGTGATACATGAAGCTTTAGAACAAATTCACACAAACAAATTGACAGTAAGTATATCCACATGCATACGTAATACATATATAGGTATTTGTAAGATACATATTATTTTCTCGTTCTCAAAAATGATACACCTACAATTTAATTTGTTCTCTCATAAAACTAAACTGTTTTTTCTTGCAGCATTTTGAAAGGATTGCATCCTTGATTCATTTGGCAATGATAAATTTAAAAGGAATACACCTTTCCTTGTTCTTTCCTGTTTATAAACAAACAGAAGTATTGCCTTATATTTAAACCCTTTCATGCTGTTTCTTATGCCATTTAAAAAAAATCCTCTAGAACATTAATACAAGGACAAAGCTTCTCATACTCATCTACTGTTTTTGTTACTGAAGTAATCTTAAAATTAATGAATTTTGTTGAGGTAAAAGCTAAGCATCACATGCATCTGGCCTTCAAAAGAGGCAGTTGTTAGCACACATATTAAATACTTAAATCTAGACAGAGAATAAAATTTATTCATTTTCACACAATGACTCAGTTCTCAAAAATGACTTTGAAAAACAACAGCCATATGGAAAATTACCCAGTCAGAAACATTACAATGGACAACTGGGCCAAAAACACCTTCCTCAAGATACACTAAAAGTTCTTCCACATTTCCTGTCACTAGCATCCTACCCTGTTTCTTACTGCTCCTAGATGAATTTGGAGGCATCGTAATACACATTAAGGCATCGCTTTTTAAATCTTTCCTACCTTTGCTGTTGAAGTACAGTTTAATTTCATCTCACCACACCTGTATAAGAATATATACTTTAAATCTATTCTTTTTTTCTCAAGAATCACAACTTGAAAACGAAACAGCTAATTGGGATAATCCTTCCATAATGCTGCTATCTCAGAAGATGAAAGAGGAACCACCAAAATGTTCTTAAAATAATAGTAATGATCAACTTAGGCTGAAGCATGAACACATTCTTCTCCTTCCACCGTACAAAGAACAATCATCAGATTCTCCTTGTTTACATGGCAAGAGGGGAGAAAATACCAAATCCATTTGGCTACTTAATGGAGAGATCCTAAAATTAGGAAGAGAGGCCTCTTCCAGTTTTAGACAAGAAAGAATGAGGAGCTCTCTTCCAAAGCTCTGCTCTGCTTTTCCTCACCCGGATCATAGAACTTGAGTGCCATCTATTGAAAATGTACCGAAATTTTTCTTCTTTTAATGTAAGAAGACAACTATTGAGTCAGTATTTTTAGAAAAAAAAATAAGATAAATGTTTTTACTTATTTTATAGTTCATTGATATTCCTAACGATGCACAGCATTTTAGTATATGTGTCCTAAATAATAGCAAAGTTTGTCATCCATCAAGGAAAAACCTATCACTGTTTCCTTTTAATAAATATATAAACTAAAGCTAAAAAAATTTCTAACATTACCTACATAAACCAGAAAATGCACTCAGGAGGAATATGAATCTTACTGTGACTACTCTGTATTTGAAATAAGATCAAAAATAATCTCTTACTTATAACAATAATGTAAAGAGATTTGTGGACCTAAAATATCCTGGAAATGATGAAATATAACAAGTACAGACTGTAGCATTCGGAAGGAGGGGGGGGGAAACCACAGTGTATGCAGGCATGCAGATATAATTACCTTCTTTAAGGAACTGGGAGTGGATGACAAATATAAGAAAACAGCAGATAGCTGCTCCTGCTAATGCCCATAAAGCTTTCAAGAGCTGCATCTCGGGTTGAAACTCAGCAAATACCAAGAAAGTCACACAATGAATTTCCAGAGCGATGCATCAATGTTTCCCGGGTTTGAGCCAGCCAGTAACTACACTTCCAAAATAGAGAAAAGGCAAGGCTAGCGGAGAGAACGGGCTTCTTTCTTCCTCCCTCTCGCGCTGGGGGAGGGGGAGAGAAAGGGAGCTAACACAAAGTCTCAAGCAGCAGCATCATGATCTTCAAACGGAGAGGAAACCGGGTCTGGGCTCCATGAATCAGCTTTCTGTTTCCTCGGGAGTTGAGCAGCATTGGGGGTTGGCAGGAGAGGAAGGGGAGGGAAGGAAATCTGGGCAGAATTGCGCAATCGCTCCCACTGCTCCCGATGAGGTTGGTTGTATTTTTTTTTAATTGCTGCTGCTTCTGCTGCTGCTTCTTTTCAGTGCCTGCTTCAGATCAGCAGTGAGAGGAATGCGGGAGAGACGCCGATCTTCACAACGCTGCCCAGAAACCGACCCCGTACCCCCCACCACCAGCTCAAAGCTGATGCTGATGCTGCTCCTCTTCTGGGGCTCGCTGGCAGCACGACCCAGTCAAAAGAGGGGGAGGGAGTCAACTCCAAGGAGCCCCCTCCCCCCGCTTTGGAAGGAGGAGAAAGCTCCCCTCTTCTTCTTCTTTTTTTCTTTCCTTTGCCCTAGAGCTTCCCTTCTACGGCGATGTTTTGCTTCTCCCGCGCTCGGATTCCAGAACTTGTTCTTCGCCCCCGCCCTCCCCAGTTCACAGCAATTCAATTAATCCTTTCATCCCAGGGCAACGCAGGTGCCAGCTGGCCCGGGTGGTGGGGCATCTCTCTCTCTCTCTGTCTCTCGCCGCTCGGGAAGGATGCGGGAAGGGAGCGCTTTCCTCCCTTCCTCCTCTCGGTTGCCACCTTCCCGTCTCCCGACCGGGCTCCGCTCTCTCTCTCTCTCTCCCTCGCTCTCGCTCTCTCTCGCCCTGGAGCTCAGGGCGCCGCCCCCGCGCCCCGCGGCACCCGCAAGAGCCTAGGTGAGCAAACAAGCCGGGGGGCGCCTCGGGCTCCTGCTGCTGCTGTGGCCGCTGCCCCGGCTTCCCGATTGCGAGGAGATAAATTTCAGACCGCAGGTTGACGAGGATGAATTCAGCACCACCACCTCCTCCTCTCTCTCTCCTTCCTCAGCATTGATGAAACGTGAGGGACTTCGTGGGGGGGGGCGGGAGAGAGAGGGGGGGGAGGACGAGGCAGGCGACTGGGCGCAACGCGGTCCTTGCAGAAGGCAGCGCTTCCTGGCGCCGCGCTCGCTCCCCGCCTCGCCCGGGCTCTTTTCTTCGCCTTCAACAGGCACGGGATTTCCCAGGCTTTGCTCGCTGTGTCGCGGAAGGAGGGCGGGCACGAGAGAGTCTCGGCTTCGCCCTCGCCTCGCTTCCCTTCTTCTCGAGAGGGTTCCGTAGTCTTCCTCCTGCGGGTGCGCCGGAGCCGCTTGAATGGCTGCAGGCTGGCGAGAGTAGCCCAGCCGCGGGCGGCAGCTCGCCCTGGGCAGTGCCTGTTCCGTCTAGCAAGGCGGCCGAGGGGAGAGACTCGCCGCCTGGGCGGCCGGCAGCCCTGAGCGCGCCCCGCTGCTGCCCCGTCGGCGGGGGGGCAAAAGTCGCGCCTCGCCGCGCGGATCCCCAGCCTCTCAGTTCAAGCTCGCTGGCGCCGCCGAGCAACTTTCCCCGACCCTCGGTCCCCAGCCGCCTGGGCTCCCTTGGCGTGAATGAGCATGCCCGAGAGGGGAGCCTGCGCGCTGGGCGCCAGCAAAAGCCCTTTCGGCAGCGCGGCTCCTGCTCAGATGCCTACCGTCAGCTCTCCGAATAAACAAGCGGAGGGGGCGAAGGCAAGGCGAGCCGAGCTGGAACCGCGCCGTATAGAACCCAGCTGGCAGGAGGGAAAGGGGGCACCTCAGCCGCCGGGCAGGAGGAGGACTTCAGCATCAGGACAAGAAAGGGGGCGAACAGCGGGAAGAGGTGGCAGAAATCGGGCAGGAAGCTCTTGTCACTCCTTAGCCAATTCCCCCCCCCCTCGCCGCCCTACTTTAAATATGGTTTAAATATGGGTGAGATTTATTAGAATGAGGAACAGATTGAATGCGTCTGTTCAGCCATCCTGTGGAATGCCAACAGAGTCACTGGAATGCCAATAGGTTGTAGCAGTGCACAAAAGCGGCAGGGAGGCAAGCGGGATCTGCAAGGATGGTTTAGTGGCCTAGGGGGGAAGGGCTGCAGGCTCGGTGGTGGATAAGAAGTGGGGTGCAGAGCGATGCTCTGAGGGGAACCAGTCAGGAAACAACATGGGCCAAAAGCAATGCCAGTCTGAGGGAAGGCGAGACAGGGAAGAGGAACTACAGAAAGTGCTCTTTGCTTTTTGCTATTTAACACACTTTGATTTATTTTGTCATAGCCCACAATAATGTCATCGTGTCGCCTGTGTCTTATATTGGTTTCCGTCTCAAGTCGTACCACCTGCTTCTCATAACTACCTATTGACGTCTCAGCAACTCCCTAGAGTCTCCCTATTGGCATTGCATCTCCTTATCATAATTTCTTACACTGCACACTCTCTACCTGGCAGTAAGTGTCACTGAAATCAATAGGGCTTACTTCATTGAAATTAATGGGACTTACCTAACCGTTTTTCATCAATTTCATTGCCTAAGCAAAGATCGTGAAAATCATTGTGCTTTGTTTTCAAGAGCCATGCATAACAATGCTAGATGCCAAGAGCCACTTATGATTTTTAATGTAGTCCTGAATCCATTTTTGAAATAAGACTTGCGCTCTGTCCTTCTGTTGTGATCAAGTTTTAAGATCTGTTGTATGCAAACTGTATATGATTAAAATGCAATTTCAGCATGACTAGCAGTTGGATGAAATATAAAAATGGTGAACAAAAAAAATCCTACTGTAACATGTAATTAAAATAGAAAGTAGTGCACTATAAATAGTGCACACCCTGAAGCAAAAGGACAAAAAAGTGTCATGGCAATGGTTTTTAAACATATTAAATACATGAGCAAATTGTATATAAGACCACTCTCCCCAACAAAAAAATTCAGAAGCTGCAGGAAATATTTGTTTTGCTAAACTAAACATGAAGTGGGTGGGCTGGTTGTTTTAATAAAACAAGAAGTATAGGATGTGGTACAGGCATAAGATTTTTTTTTTTGGCTTTGGCTAAAATTGGTGACATGATAATTAGTGATTTTAGACCCTGTATATAATAGAATAGATGGCCATGTGCATGGATTCAGTTACGAAGTATAATCTCTCTCTCTCTCTCTCTCTCTCTCTCTCTCTTTCTCTCTCTCATCACTCTCACCACCCACCCACCCACAAACCAGGTCCCATAGTTATATTTGTTGTCATAGCTAATTCTCTACTCATTTGATGACAAAGGAGAAAAAAGTGAAAATACATGGATTAGGATGAAAAGCCCAGCAGTACCAACTTTCCCACTACCTACTGTCCTGTTGTTGCTGAGTAAGGCATAAGATGCTGCTTTGCTTTTCCACAGGTCTTGTAAAGCAAAGCAAAAGCAAAGTGTGCTACTTGTATACTGCCCCGTAGTGCTTCAAGCACTCTCTAGGCAGTTTACAAGTTAATTATGCAGGCTACACATTGCCCCCCTCCCCCAGCGAGCTGGGTACTCATTTTACCGACCTCGGAAGGATAGAAGGCTGAGTCAACCTTGAGCCGGCTACCTGGGATTGAACCCCAGGTCATGAGCACAGTTTTGGCTGCAGTACAGCAGTTTAACCACTGCGCCACGAGGCTCCTGCAGCATTTTAAGTAACACCTCATCTACTGTGATACTAGGAGTACCAGCTTCTCTTCATTGTTAGTTGGATACCCATTTTAAGTAGCACCTGATCTACTGTGATACTAGGAGTGCCAGCTTCTCTTCATTGTTAGTTGGATACCCATGTTAGGTATCTAGGGTGGTATAGTAGATATAGTGATGGACAAAGGACACAGGACACCTGGGTTCAAATCTCCACTTTGCCATGGAAATTCATGGGGGTGTGGAACTGGTAAAATCACTCCTTTAATATCTCACTTACCTTGAAGACTCTATTGAAGCATCATAAGTCAGTTCATGTAACATAACATCCATGTTTTACAACAAGGGGGAATGTATTTGCTGCACTCCCCCATCATCTGGAGATTTGACTATGTATCCTTTCAGCTATTGATGTATTACTGTATATTCTATTTTGATTTTCATGTATTTGTAGGTACATAGATTCAAAACTTCTGTGAGTCTCAAAGAAAGCCATTGCATTTCAGTAGCATGGGGGAGATATGTGCTAAATTAAGTGCATGTAAGCTAACCTAGTGTTGCTACTGTGATGTAAAGTTCCATCATTTTCCCAGCAAAATACTAACACATTTATAATATATATAAATCTATTATTTTATCTATAATAGATTAAATAAATAAATAAATTTGTGAAATACATATTTTTCAACATCACTTTCTTTCTTTATCTAGATATATCTGTTTAACATGCTGGTATCTCTTTAAATAGAGCAAAGTTGAAGAGTACAAAAATGTTATTCATTAATCACAATCAAACAATTATAAAATATTTTTAGTTACTGAAGGCAAGAGTCCCTCTGGGGGAAAAACTATACTTAAACAACACTGACACACTGGGATATTGCTTGTTTCCTTCGCTCCTGATGACAACAGTATCTACTGAATATAGCATGCAGATACACCATGAAGCTTATTATATTATAGCTGTATTATTGTACAGAAGGATGAGTAAACAACAACAGAAATTTATTCTTCTAAGTATTTGTAATACAATATTTTTATTCCTCTTATAAATCTCGCTCCTTGATAAATGCTCTATCTCTAGAGGACTGTTATTGTGGATGTAGGTCAACTAAGAACATCTATTTTGCAGAGTCACCAAACTGATTATGATGATACAGCAAATGACTATAAAAATTTCAAAGAATTTTGCTTTGATAATGAAAAAAATTAAATAGAAGGAGCCAAAAGGGAGTATCTGGTATCTGGGGTCTTGAGTTCATGGGATTAGAGAAGAGCCCTTCCAGTTATTCCTCAGTAATTGCAATATAAAACAAATACATTTACCATATTCTTTGGAGCCTGAGATTCTGCATGTGTAACAGAATTATAGTTCCATACAGATTTAATATTCCTAAGACATTAAATGACATAAGAAGGAATAGAACAGACACTGCTTTCCATCAGTGAGACTCATGTGATACATTAGATTTGGTTTTTTCCACCAATGGGAGTGAGAGTGGACCGATGGTGACTGACCTTGAGTCGGTCCCCTTGTCATGGTCGGATCACCACCTAATAAAATGCTTCCTCAAGATGGCCCTCCCCCCTCGCAGGGAGCAGGGATCTATTGTCATGGTCCGCCCTCGAAGGCTACTGGATCCGATTGGATTCCAGGATGCCATGAGAGGGGTTACGGCTGACCTGGCTGGCG